TCCCTGGAACTTCTCAAGTGTCAGAAGAAGGCACTGACATTGCTGACACAAATTCTCTGCCATTAGCAGGAGACTTTTTTTTTTTTTTTTAAAATATGCTCCTGGTCAACAGGAGTCGGCTGTGAATGTAAAGTTGATCCTCTCTGTATAACTTAACGAAGTCAGCACATTCTAGGGTTTCTTATATATACTATTTTAAGCTGGGAGGACAAGAGGCCCAGGGCAGGGATTTTGTTGCAGGCTCTTATTGGGAGTTTGGATCTTCCAAGTTGTTATTGGGTGACTTTGAGGATCTTGACTATGAGAACTGGAAGGGTGCATCGGATGTGTTAGCAGAACAGGAAGGCCAAGATCAGGAGGGAAGCCATCTGCTTCATATCACACAGATAGCCGACTGGAGAGATGGCACTAAAATCCAGGGTCATGGTGGTGTTAGACTATTTCCAAGTTATTGAATATGGGTCTAGAGCCAAATCCTAGCCTTAATGCACAGCAGTCTTAAGCTTTCAGCAAGGTACTAATCTTTCCACCTTACCTGTCCTTTGTATGAAATTTAAATAAAATAAATACTTAACACTGTTTCCATGAGGACTCAATCAGGTGGTGCTTGTCAAAGTGCTAGTGTTTTAAAACTATATTTTATTATGCACAACAAATGGATTGTGATTATCTCGTGCAGAGTGATTCTAGAAACAGGAACATGAAATAAATAAATCAGGGATTAGCAAATGACCTTTTAGTTGCCAATGCTGATTGTGCCTCTTAAACATATAAGTATAATTGGAAAATAGCTTCTCTAATTCATTCATGCGGTGTCTTCTGTGGCTTTGTTGTTCATAATAACAGAGTAGCTATGATGGAGATGGTATGCCCACAAAGTATGAGCAATTGCACCTTACTGATCTCTGAGCCTGATGATCAGTAATACTCTTTTTACACTAATTCCAATGGATGAAAAGCGTGCTGAAATCTTCATATCTGACTCTGATTCTTCTTTTGACCTTTATAAGCTATATCCATTGGCATACTGGTAACTCATGTGCATGTCTTGAGGTCAACTGGTCTCAGAATAAACTTGACTTATTTCTGTCAGAGTATGCTGCCCTGCATTCCTAAGCGGAGTGAGTAGTACCATGACACGGACCCAGTTATTACCATACTTAATCCTCCCTTCCTATATACCTTCAGTCTTAACTTGCTGCAGGTTTCACTGGTGAGACAGCTCTTGGTATCAAGCCTATTTCTCCATCTGGGCCCACAGTGCCATCAGTTGCTGCAGGCCAACTTCTGCCTCCATGGCACTTCAGATAAAGGACTTCAGGAAGGTGTTTTTCCAGGAAAGCCTCAGAAACTGGAGTATTAGTCCTTCCAAAGGCTTAGATTGTTTGTTTTTATTTATTTGTTTGTTTTGCAGGAGGCTCTTTAAGAATGCTTCTGAATACTACTGAAAAATAGAAGAGTAATAGTAATCCGAGTATGTCTATATTACTTTCAGAGCTTACAAAGCACTTTGATATTCATGTATTGTTTGGTATTTGGACAGTCTGGGGAGGGAGCTGATGTAATTACCTGCATTTCACCAGATGAGAGTGGAACATTTGCCTTGTAGCTGTAACTCAGATCAAGTCACCTGTTTCTTTCCCTCCCTCTTTGCTTTCTTTTCCTTTCAAGAGTATCTTTCACAATACATTTGAAGTTCCACTTTCTGTTTAAACATAAGATAGCCACAAGGTAATATTTTATATGTCTTGGGTTCTCACTACAGAGATTGGTATTAAATAGATGACAGCAACTTATTATTTATGGCTCTATCTATTGTTACTCAGGGAGACAGACCAACGATTCCTCCATTGTTATAGATGTTACTTTGACTTGACAGCTGGGGAAGTCTGATAGGCAGTTTATTTACTTAGCCATTTAACCAAATAAATGTTTTCATTTTTCTTTCATCTCCTCAAAAGCTAACATTTTGCCCTTAAAATTGCTCCAGCAACACATCAGTGAGGTATAAATTACCTGCCATTCCCTCACCAGCCATTATAATATTATTTTGGCTCTTTTTTGCCCATTGACCCAGTCCCTCACAGTCATGTGATTCTCCCAGATGGAGGATGTAAGAAGAAGTGAAATAACTGAAGATATTTTCCTTTATTGCTAAAACAGAAATACTATTTGAAATTTGCCCCAAAGCTTCCACCTGCAGGGACTGAGCCTCTCTGTTCCCTGTTACTCTGGCATGATGTGGCTTTGACTTATCAAAAGATGTCATTCCTGCTTATTCAGGACTCTGTTGGTGTTTCTAATAAAAAACAGTGGGAGATAATGGCTGCAAGGGTGATAAGAAGTAAGGGACCATTGCTTTCCAACTAGATGAAAGCAGAGTTGGAAAATAAAGCCATGGACACAGCTATCTCACGATAGTGGCTCTTTTCCAAATGTCTGAAAAGGCAATAACAAATTGGAGTCTATAAATTTCCAGTTGCGTGGATGGTTGAAGGGGATGCACACAAAAAGATAAAGTGTTACTTATGAGTGTGTTGCGGGACAGACTGAGGAAAGCTCACTTGGACTTCCATGTGTGTGTCGTAGAGGTTGGTTTCAGAGTCTTGGCACGTAACTCTGTTTAGGGAACTGTGACATGACCAGGCAGAGCCTCCAAAGGCAAATGATCGCTTCATTGAAACTTAGCCCACCTAGCACTCTTCTGGAGCCAGGAGGATTTAGTGAGATTTACTTGTGAGCGTGAGCTTACTCATTTTTTGGGAAAAGGTGGCCTGAAGGGCCCAATTCACTTGGTCCTTTTGATTAGAGGACAACCAATCCACACCAGGAAAAAAGGACCAGCCTTTTTCCTTATTTGTGTGTTTTCCCTATTGTTATTTGAGGCATGTGAAAACCATCTAAGATATAAAACACACAGCAAAAACTCCTTGCCGGTGACTGCATTCAACAGGAGGTGAAGATAGTGGTGGTGGTGATCACAGCCAGTGAGTGCTTTATATGTGCCAGATACTGGTGAAAGCTCCATGTTAATCACATCATTTTATCCACAGAAGAACTATATGAGGCCTGTGCTGTTTTTATCTGTATGAGTTCAAGTGAAGAAAATAAGCTTAGAAACTAAGTGAATCTCAATATGGCTACATAACCAGAATGTGGTGAAGCTAGATCCTGGATTCAGTTAATATCACTGCAGAAGTTTAAGTTCAGTATTAAGTGACTGTCTCCAGGTGTTGATATATACTATCCTAAATAACTCCCTCGGTAAAAAAATAGCCCCTGCTAGCAAATGAAGAAGCCAATATTCAAAAGAAATTGTAGTGCTCGCCCAAGGCTTGCCACTATTAAATAGCTGAATTAGGATTTGAACTCAAGTTCCAAATGTTGAAATCTTTCCACTATACTAGTTATAACTCAGCATTGGCTGGTATACTGGACAGAGGAAATGTAAAGCAGACACAAGCCCCCCAAAACAGCTGAGCTTATGTGATTTTTCTCAAGCTGAACAAGCTCAAAAAGATGAGGGTTTGATACATTGATCTACAAATAGTATAAGTCATCTTTGTTTTCTAGAAGAACTTCAATTTGAAGATGATGTTTGCTGCTATTTTGATGAATGGTTCCTGTCACATCCAGTTCATTCATCCAACTTCTCCAGGAAAACTTGAGCATATGAAATACAGCAATTGCAACGGGTAGAAAACCTCTTAGGGAATCCCTCCAAGGAATTGGCTCAAAATCCCCAACCTCTCCCTTTCCTACAGTATTGACTTTACCTATAACAGACCAGATCCCCAAACAACTTGATAAGGCTGAATATTGAAATGGGTATTAGTTAGTTTTCCATGGTGTGATGTATTATTATGTGCTGTTGTATTGACACAAAATATGGCAAAATATACCATAGGCTAAGTTTTTTAAATCATAAAATCTATTAACAAAATGTACTCCCAAAACACCATGCTAGCTTTCAATTAAGTGTCAAAATAACTTACACGCAGACTGAGAATCCATTAATGAGCAGTAAAAACCATTTTCCATTTTAATGGTTCCAGCCCTGCTTTTGGGGACTAAAAAAACAAAAAACAAAAACCCCAGCTCTTTGGGGATGGTCTTGTGGTCCTATATGTTTATGGAAAACTAGAGAAGTGTCTGAAAATTGAACACATTTGTCAAAGACTGACCTTAGAAATCATGTCTAGGTAACAAGGTGTATTTTGTCTCCTAAGAAGCTTTACTTCCTCAGTTCTCTTTCTTGCGATCAAATCAGATGTGTCGAAATTCAAGTGCCAAAAGCCACTTCTAGCAAATGTAAGTACACCTCTCTCAAAAACAGCTGCTGATGGAAGCTGAAGTGAATGAGTGAAAACCGTATGCAGTAACACAGGTGCAGACAGTAGAGCCCAGGAGTGAATACTTTGGGCTTTGATTTTTACTTTCACATGGGAAAAGGTGCAGGTCCTCTCTGGCTACTCAAAAGGGTTACCAGGATCTTACATCTTGATCAATCTTATTTCAAGCACTGCTTGTTTTTGCTTCATAGTCTGCCTTCTCAGTGTGTTTGATCGGTGACCTCTTTAGATCTGCGGAGTGCAGGCAAATGCAGTGACATTTTGCTTAAAAGATTAAAGCACATTTCACTGAGAAATTATGAGTGGGCAGAATGTGTCTCTCTCAGAATTTTGATGATTTCAGAAACTAAATCCACATTAAGTAGTGCTGACCATTCCTCACTCTATCACTACCATGTGCTCAGAACATATCATTGATGAAATAAGAGGAACGTTCCTCAGGTCTCCTACCCCATCTTCCTGTATAAGTCAGAGGTCATGCACCCAGGAAGAAGCACAGAGTGGAAAGCAGACACCAGGCAGGGAGAGGTGGTTGGAGCATCAGGATATAGATTGGGCAAAAGAGAGAGCAAGGGTGTGGGGAGTATGAATTTAAGAGGGCAAATAGCCAGCTGAAAGGTGAAGGAGATGAAAAGGAGGGATACCTACCCAGCCCTGCGCTTTCTAGCTACCGTCCTGTGGACTTGTGGTATCACCACTGGGCTCAGCACTGGGCTCCCCAAATGGGTCGCTGCTGGATGAGGCCTGGGAACCGTCAGGCTAGAACACAAGAAGGTAAGACTTTGCTTTCTTTCTCTTTTTAGCAATTATAAATACAAGACAACTGGGAGTATTTTCATGCACTACATATAGTTAGTGATTTTAAAGAAGGGAGCAATTTCAGCTAGAGGATGCCCTCTCCAATAGCCTCCCTCCCCCACCCCGCAATGTAAAAACTCTCAGCAAGAGCTTCATAAAAGAACATTTTGTTTTTGGGTTTGGCTGACTCATATAAACATAAATGAAAACCCCTGAGAAACCCCTTTAGACGTACAGTATCTGAGTCAACAGCCTTTGCCTTGTTGTCCCCTTCATGCATGGATGTTTTAACTGGAAGGAGAAATAAGACCCGATAAAATCAAAGCAGTGACTTACAGCTTCTTGCTCTTCACTTTTGCTTGGACTTTCGAAGCCTTCTTCAAAGATGTCATCAGCAGTGGGATCACTGGCGTGGGATGCAGATGATTTGGATGGAGAGCTCTGCCTAGGGGCAGGCGTTGGAGCTACACCGAGACCAAGAAACAAGAGGAAACACTATAAGGGCCCGGCTGTGACCATTTACAGGGATCTAATTATAGTCAAGTCAAACTCTTACACTCAAGCCAAGTTAAATCAGCTGTATATCTGAGTTTCCCCTTGGTACATACTTGGGCTCTCATACTCTCCATAGCAAGGAAGGAGTTGGTCCACACAGGACAAGGCAATGGTTTTCAAGGGATGGTCACTTTGCCCCCAGCGTGTGAACATCACCTGGGATTCTTAAAAAGGCAAAATCTTGGTCCCTATCTCCCATCTACTGAAGCAGAAGCTCTGTGTTTTAAAAATCCACTTTGAATGCTTGAGCAGAGAACTAAGGGATTTTTGTTTGCATCCTTCTCACTTTCTTTCATCACAGGGCACATTCGTTGAGTGGCTTTGATGTGACAGCCATTGTCAGAAATTTTAGGGACAGTATTTCTAATTCCCATAAAGCCTCTTGGAGCTAGAGGTTATCTCAATTTCACATATCAGAAAAAGGAAGGCTGCTAATTTGCTTATGGCAACTGATAAAACCGGGCTTTGAATTCTGGCATATAGTAGGTACTGAATAAACAGAGACTTGGTGATCTGGGGAGATGCTGTTGCTGATGGCAACTAGAGTCTATAAGGACACGTGCTTGCTGTGCTGACCTCCCCGCATTTCTCTCCTCTCATTTGTTCCAGAGGCTTATAACAAATATGCCATTTGAAAGTACTCTTCTTTCAATAATTTCTCATTTGGCACACAAAATACCAGTCACTGGCTCTGTCCCCAGTGAGGAGGTGACAAGTCTTGATTTAGCAGCTGAATTTCAAAAGCCATGGATAAGGCCTCCCCATTATAACACTCCTGAATTTAGAAAACCTGGCAGATTACAAGGCAGTGAATGACTGTAAAACCTACTGTGTACTTTTACTCTGAGGAACCTGTATCTAGAGTAAGAATTATATTTCTTCATATTTTATTTATAATGTGCCATTGAGCCAGACACTCTGCTAGGGACTTCCCATTTATTGCTCTCTCTCTAATATAAACAACTGCTAGGTGTTGTTGAACTTCTCCAGATTGGGGGGAAAAAACCCTCACAGTTTAGAGAGGTGAACTGCAGTGCTAACACAGCAGTGAAAAAATGGTCTTAGGTTTGAAGTTGGATCTGTCTGACATTGCTACATCTCTGTGCTGGGGTCTGGCTATTTGAGGTTCATTTTTGTTCTAACCACTCCAAACATTATTATAGGAAGAGAATAAAGAAAGCTGGATTAACCAATTTTCTTTAAAATAAAACATCAAATTACATTTTTAATTGGAAATAACTCTATATTGTTTCCTAAGATGACTTTATAACAAAGTAGTTACAGTGGGCTTATGGCTAAATGAAAATACCCTGATGGATAGTAGCTGTTTAACAAACATTAGCTTAATAGGATTCTAAATTGTGTTTGAAGTGGATTATTGTTTACTAGCTGACGAGAACTCACACTGAACTGCTAATTCTGACAGGCGTAGCACAGATACCTATTCAAGGAAATCAATGAGATGCATAATAGGGGTTTACATATGCATGTGTATTCCCCTTTAAAAGATTTTATAGATTACTTCACACTCTAGAACAGTGCTGGGCCAGTGCAATGGCTCAGCTGGTTAATCTTCTGTCGGTAAGCATCACATCCCATATGGGTGCTGGGCCATTTCCCAGCTGCCCCACTTCCCATCCAGCTCCCTGCCTGTGGCCTGGGAAATTAGAGAAGGTTGGCCCAAAGCTTTGGGATGCTGCACCCACATGGCAACCCAGGAGAAGTTTCTGGCTCCTGGCTTTGGATCAATATAGTATCTGACATTGTGACTACTTGGGGAGTGAATCAGTAGATGAAAGATCTTTCTCTCCGTCTCTTCTCTCTGTAAATTTGCCTTTCCAATAAAATCAAATAATCTTAAAAGAAAAAAAAAACAGTGCTTCTCAATTTATGGTGACTTGACCCCCCAGGGGTGTGAATATGCCACTAGTGCAGCTATTTTTGATTGTCACAACTAGAGGGAAGTTATCCTACTTGTACGTAAAGGCCAGGGTTGTTACTAAATACTCCATAGTGTACCAGAAGGTTCCCCACAGCAAATAATTATGTGGGCCAAAATGTCAGACGTGCCAAGGATATACACTTTTGCTCTACAGCAACAGTAGCTGAATGACCTTGTTTTGTTCATTCAGCAGTTCACATCCTTTCCCAAATGCCTCCAACAGGTTGTGCACTCTGCTAGAACTGTAGGAAGTGATGACGACATATCCCCTAGTCTTCAAAGAACTTAAATTTCTTTTACTTGTTGCAGACACACAAGTCCACCAAAGGATAAGCTTTTTTTTTTTTAAAAAAAATATGCCTGCTTAGTTATACAGGGCTTGCTTTAACATTTCATTTTTTATTCATTATTCTTCATTGAAATTTGCTGCATTTTAGCACACAGTTCACTACATAGTTCACACAGCCTGAATGCAAGAATGTTATTTATACACATTAAAGGCATTCATTTTCAGAATATCATGTGAATCTTGCTGAAATGACATAACCTAATTGAATTAACATTAGATTCTTTTCTTGACAATTCACTGTATTGGCCATGCAGTGATCCATATCATCTGTGACAGTAGTGAAAATGCCAAACTCATTGTACCATGAGCTTTCCTTTTCCCTTATCCATTGTCAAGATACAGACTGAGTCACAGGATCACCTTCCCCAAATTGTGTTGAACAAACGTGTGTGTACTCAAGTGTATCTGGACTCTGATTTGGCTGCATGGTTACTGCCTTCCAGATGTTTGCAGCGGCAAAATGAATTGGGGTAGAATCACTGACAGCCAGAGCTAGAAGGAGGCACATTGTTTGAGCAAGTGAATTCACACATTTTACCAACGACACAAATGGAAGTCACATGATTGCCAGGGACACAGCCTGCAGTGAAAACGCTAACACCAGAACACTGGTCCAGGACACTGCACAAGATCACTTAACCTGATGATACCGATGATGATTTTATAGACATTGTTTAACTACCTGCAATATTGTATTCTTTACTGGTCCATAGCTTTATGCATGTGAAGGAATTACAGCTCACAAAAATAAAAAAATCCTGCCCCTATGCACAAAGCTTCTATATTATAAAGATGGTTGGACGACCTTTCTCTCTTTCTCTCCGTCTCTCTATAGATCTAAAATTTCAATAAAAATAAAAAAAAAGAAATATGATCTTCAGGTTCTCAGTCCAGAGCCTTCTGTAGCACCATCCTTTTTTCTCTTTCACTGTTGCTGGAAACTCTGAGGCAAAACTGGGATGAGACAGTGTGGCTGCTTTAACTCTGCCCTAAGTTTCCCTCTTGATCTTATTTACCTAATTTTTAAAAAAAGATTTGCTTTATTTTTATTGGAAAGTCATATATACAGAGAGGAGAAGGAACAGAGAGGAAGATCTTCCGTCCGATGATTCGCTCCCCAGGTGACTGCAATGCGTGGAGCTGAGTTAATCCAAAGCCAGGTGCCCTGAGCCTCTTCCAGGTTTCCCTCATGGGTGCAGGGTCCCAAGGCTTTGGGCCATCCTCCTCTGCTTTCCCAGGCCACAAGCAGGGAGCTGGATGGGAAGTGGAGCTGCTGGAATTAGAACTGGTGCCCATATGGGATCCTGGCAGGTGCAAGATGTGAACTTTAGCCACTAGGCTTACCGTATTGGGCCCTACTTACTGATTTTTTAAAATTCTGAACTCCTAAAGTTTTATATTCATTCATTTTTACTTCAATAAAATCAATATGTAATTAGCTTGGACACACATAAATGAATGGATTAGAAAACTAACAAAACCAAGATGTGGAATAACACAATAGAGACATACTTATATAGGGCTTATATTCTAATTAACCAATGTGTTAACTTTTCTTTGAACCTCACTCTCTTTTTAAGATGCATTTATTTTATTGGAAAGGCAGATTTCCAAAGAGAAGGAGAGACATAAAAACAGATCTTCTATCTCCTGGTTCACTCCCCAACTGGCCATAAAGCCAGAAGCTTCCTCTGGGTCTCCCATGAGGGTGCAGAGTCCCAAGGATTTGGGCCGTCTTCCACTGCTTTCCCAGGCCATAAGCAGGGAGCTGGAACATGAACTGATGCCCATACAGGATCCTCATGTTTGGAGGAGCAGGATTAGCCAGTTGAGTTATCACACCAGGCCCAGGAACCTCACTTTCATTAGCCATAAACAGGTTTAGCAAAACTTGTTTTAAGCATTGATGTAAGTCCAAAAACAAAGACTGCTCAGGTAGAGAAGGTATAACCAAATATGCTCCAGGTGTACCAAAAGTGTTAACTATTATTACAGGTAGTAAATTCAACAGGCAGGCTTAATGGATCACATACATATGCATCCATATAACAACATCGCTCACTGCTTCTATGTATATCTTCTTTTTAAAATAGTATACTTTGGTCTTTCATTTCTTTTTTTTATTTATCCACCTACAAAGACACTAACAAAATCTCTGCATCATGAATGCAAATCAAGCAGCTGACACTTATCAATGGAGTAAATTCTATATCTTAAGTGAGAAGCACTCACGTGAGTTGGTCGATGGTGTGGTAGATGTCACAGGGGTCAAATTCAACTGGGAGATGTCAAAGTCATCACAGTCATCTGTATCCTGTGCCACCCCGACTTTGTTGAAGTAACTGGAGAAGGCCTCTGAGGTACAGGTGAGGGAGGGTTGGTCAGGCTTGCGGGAGGGCACGGGTGGAGGCTGGACCATCTGGAAATCCTTAAACATTTCCTTCCCGATTTTCTGCCTGGGCTTGTCGGTCTGTGGACTTGACCTGGTGGAGTCACTCGTGCCTGGGACGGTGGCAAGTGGAGTGAGGGGACCTTGGAACATGGCAGCTGGCAAAGGCATAACAGTTTGTGTGGGCATGAAGGCGGCTGGCGGAAACTGCCCGGCCACAGTGGGCCAGGGCTGCTGGGTGGCAGGAAAGAGGCCCGGCTGGCCCCATGCAATGGGCTGAGCCCCCGGCATCACCTGAGCGACTGGTGGCTGAGCACCCATGGCGAGCTGCTGTTGCACGAGGGGCTGCTGGCCCCAGAACGATGGGAGGACGGCGCCCATTGCCACATAACCTGGAGGGGTGGAAAGGGAGAGTCAGGCATCCTGAAAATGCCAAATGCAGATATTCATATGATCGACAGCCATGGAGTGCCAGGCTGAGTGCTAGGGATGCGGGATGCCAGGAGAGTGAAACAGAAGCTCTGTACTTCAAGATGGTTTCCTGCTGGGGAAGTCCAGGGAAACCCTCCCCTGCAGATGATTCATAAACAGAAAATCAAATGCACGGAGGGAGCAAGGCACACAAATGCCTGGAGCACAATAACAGCACTTCCACAATTTAAGGTTTCTGAGTTTTTTCCAGGCCAAGGAACCATGAGACTCAGTAGAAAGAAGACTATAGCAGACACACCTTCTTGCTAGACTTCAAGGATTCTCTCCATTGCTATTTGCTGCAAATGTGGGTGTTAATATCTCCCTTCTTAGCACTGACGACTTGTGCAAAGTGATTAAGAAACTGCACTGCTGGAGCTCTTGAGGCCTAGGTTAAAACTCAGGCTGCTATAATTACACCTGTGTAATAACAGATGTGCTTCATAACCACTCTAATGCCCTATGGCTTTATCTGTAAAATGGGCATAAAATGACTCCTGTCCCACTGCATGTTTTGAATACTGAGACTGCATTTTTTACTACCCCCAACACAATGACCATTCAGTATATATTAGATTTCATTGGCTATGATTTGAAGCAAACTGAGCTTATAAAGTACTCAACATCTTGTTTGATATACATCAACAGGCATAATATGCTATTTGCATATTATTATTTTAATTTCAGAATAATGGAGGATATTATCTACTCAGGGGTATCTCTTAACAGATTGGGAAATGGAAAATATCAGGATCTCTACTCATGCATATTTCATGGTAAGTATGTATTGTACTACATTATTCCATTGATTCTCGGACATTTTAGTGGAAGCAAAAGTGGCACTTGTTATAGAAATAACAGCAATAGCAATGATTTCCACTTACTAAGTGCCTATCACGTGCGAGTTACACCCTTAAGTGTGTTATATATTCACAAAGTTCCAGCAGGTTAGATACTATTTCTTTCTGGTTTAGGGATGAGAATATGAGTGCCTAGAGAAGAAAAAAAAACTTGCTTCACATCACTCAGGTGGCATAAGGAAGTATCAGGATCTGAACTGAGATGTCCTAACCTTGCCTACCATTAAATCGCTGCATACACTGTGGGTCTGTAGGACAATCAGGTGTGAAGGACACTCTCAGGCTTCCAACGATTTCCACCATTCTCAGGCAACACAAAGATCACTACAAATGCAACTGAGTCGGGGAAACTTGTATTCAGGCTAGGCAAAGGGTCAAGAACCCAGCCTTGCTTGCCCTCCCGAAACAAGTGTTTCATGGCTGTCAGCAGATTTGGGCAAAAGAAGCAGTGGATACATAGTTGCTGTGTACTGTGAGCACCTCCCTCTTTTTTTATGGAAAGGCAGATGCACAGAGAGGAGATGCAGAGAAAGATATTTGTCTGCTGGTTCAGTTCCCAAGTGTCCGCAGTGGCCAAAGTTGAGCTGATCCGAAGCCAGAAATTAGGAGCTTCTTCTGGGTCTCCCATGTAGGTGCAGGGTCCCAAGGCTTTGGTCGTCCTCGACTGATTTCCCAGTTCACAAGCAGGGAGCTGGGATAGGAAGTGGGGTAATCAGGATATGAACCAGTGCCCATATGGGATCCTGGGCATGCAAACTAAGGATCTAGCCACTAGGCTATTGTGCTGGATCTGTGAGCAACTTCTAAAAAAAATATGTGGTGGGTGCAATGGCATCTGTCACATTGTGTCATGTGGGTGACTCGGATGAGTCCAAAGATCTACGCAGAGGCTCCAGTCTGAGAGTCACCCATTTATCAATATACTGACAATGGATACAGCCAATATTCCAGGCTTGGCCACTTCCCTGACAGGTGTCCACTTTGCCCCTCATGCCACAATGTCCCTAAGAAGAGATTATAGAGGAGGGGATAGAAGTCACATGAGCGTCTTGGTAATTGATCTAGCATGTTAAATGATTTCCTGCATTGAGGCACAGGTTCAACAAACAAAAAAGAGAATATCCTTTTAAAGTGAGTGGGTCCAAATGCATTGAAGCAAGTGTGAAGAAGCACTGGTTATGACATTTCAAACTTGAGAGCTGCTTACAGAGCTTGTCCTATCGCATAATAATGCAGTGACTTGAATCTTCCAGCAGACCAAGAATTGCACAACCCCTTTTGTCTGATTTAGTTTGCTATGGCTCAGTAGCTCTCAGTGGGAGTGTTACTACCTGCTAGGGGTGATAAGTAAGTTTGTAGGAGACGTCTACGTTGCCATAATTGCTTCAGTTTGCACTACTGGTTTTAGGGGGCTCACAGCATTGTTAGTGCACTCCTGAAATGTGACCTGAAACAGAGGCCCATGTTACATCCTTTCAAAGAATATTTGAACTCCATGGTAACTCAGTTTCCTCACACGATTTTGTTGCACACAGTGAAGGATTGTCCACCATGTTAGAAACTGGCAATCCCCGACAGGAATACTTGTTACGGCGGCCAAACTAACAGGGCACTCCTTTATCAACCTGTGCCTGTAAGCACAGCTTTCTCTGTATTTTGTTTTCTTGTACATTCAAGGCTGTTTTCTTGTACATTCAAGGCTGAGAATTGCTTTATTGAAATACTGCTCCCTCCCCTCTTTATTTTTGCCTGTTCTTCACAAGGAACTAACATATGGGCGATGCATACTTTTCTGGAGAGCGCTATTAGCACTCTCTCTGGCTTCCTGCCATCTGCTCCAGACCAGAGTACAACATTCAAAAGCAGAGGGTAATGGAGTATCCCTGTTTGAGAGCTTGCGGGTCTTGCTCGCTTTTCCTAGGGGGTTGCGGGGTGTGCTTGTAGTCTGTATGCCAAGGAACTCTTGCCATATGGCATAGTGCATGGCTAGTGGGATATCTCAGTAGCAGGACCGTGGTGGACCTGGACAGGGGGTGCCCCTGGGTGACTGCCACAGCAGTCACTTAACAATGGTGTAAACTGTTTACTTGCTAATGTGAAACAGCATGGGGGAGGAGGTGCCAAGGAGCATCTGCTTATGCCAGAAGTTCAGATCAATCAGAAATTTCCTTGCTGGGACGTGAAAGAGACCACCTGCTATTACTGCCTTGTAATTAGATTTCTAAAAAGTGTTGAAAATTGCAATTTATAGCCAGATGTGTGTACCTGGGGATAACACATTATTTGAACCAAGGGGGGAAAAAGCTACATGAAAATATCAGAAAAGCGCAGACAATAAAGAGACCTTCCAATATTAATATAGAATGTATATCCTTCTTATCTAAATTATTTCACTGGACTCATTCATTTATCCAAAAATATTCTTAGTCAGTACCTGGCACTGTTTTAGTCTCCAGAAATGCAGTAAAAACCAAAACCATTAAACAAGCGCTGTTGTAGTGGAGCTTACATTTGTATGAAGCTGATCTTCAAAACAAGCTCCTGGGGCTGCTGATTCTGCTATCACTTTAGTTTGGGGAAAAGAAATCGCAGGCACTGGGGGTGGGGCAGACCTGATGGCCTGCTAGGCACTACCATCCAGGATTTCTCACACATGTTTGCTGAAGCTCAGAAGAGCTCCTGGAGGTAGAATCACGGCCATCCCCATTTTGCAGACCAGTTCCTTGAGGCTCAGAGATGTAGCTGGCTCGTGGAAGAGCTTGTCTTCACACAAGGACATTCTCAACACCACTCAGGCTGCTGCTGTCATGAACAGCCAAGGGGCCAAGAATCTGAACTTTACTGCATGCCATTCAATGACTGCATTTTTAAAAGGCAAATAGAAACATATGGGAAAGATAAGACATGTTTTCTGCTACTTTAGAAAGCAGGATAACAATAACAGTGGAATTTCTCACAATTACTTGTAACATATCAACATGCTGAAAGTGCTTCATTTCATTTTCTTATTTAATTTTCATGATATTGCTGCAATTCACCAAGTTATCAAGATGAAGAAACTCTAGCTCTGACAGGTTAATTTGGCCAGGAGCCTAGAACATATTAAAAATTGGCTAAGCCAGTATTCAAACTTAGCCCATCAGGTTCAAAAGCCCCCAGAAGGCAAACCGTTCACTGTCTGAGGGTAACTCAGTCCATTCCTGTCTCCCATTCACTGAGTGACAGGTAGAAAGGCATCCAACAGTCACAGGGATGTTTGAGACCAGTTAAAGGAGGAACACGGCAGATTGCTCAACACTCAGTGAAGCATATTGTACTCATATTTTAAGTGGAGAATGAAAGTAAAAATATGCTAATAGAAATTAATTTTAGACTCAAGTTCCAGACACTGAAGTATTAAAAGTGATCTATGCGTCATTTCAACATCGGAAAGAACCAAGTCTGGATGTCTAAATGCCCTGATCCTCTCTGCAGTGTTAAGCATTAATACTGAAACCCAGATTTTCAAAGCCACTGATCTGGAACAGGTAGTGAAAAGGCCCTGAACATAACTGTGTCCAAAAAGAAGATCCTGCAGGTATTTTTAATAAAATGCTAGGGTCAGAAGAGAGAGGATAATTGCATGCCAGTGTCATCTTCTCACTTACAGAGAAGGGAATTAAATTAGGAAGTGCCAAAATGTTCCTTGATTGGAGACCATTAAGTCTAATACCTGTGGGAGCTCTTCCGTGGACTTTGCAGTCTGTTTACCTCTCACCTGCGCAGACTGCTGACTGGAGACTGCCATTTTCATATCCTGCTTGATGTCATTCTTTTCCCCATATCACTTACCTTATTTTATTTTTAATTGTTATTACTTCTCATGATACAGATGCACTGGGTAGAGGATATACGACACAAGTTTACGTATTTGTATATTACTATCCATCATTCCGGTGGGATGGAAACTCTTGCTCTCACATGCATGCTGACTGTTGTATTCACTGATAAACCCTCGTGCACTTGAACAGGACCTACACAGATTGGGCACTCAATTCCTTATTCATAGTGTGAACACAGCCTGAAAATTAGTTCATCTGGGACCCAGACTTTCCATAATGTATCTAACCCTATATTTAAAACCACATTATGGGAACAAAACATGGGCATTCTAAATACAAAGCTAAGACACAGAGGAGGGGTGCATTATGATGGAATTTTAAAAATCATTATTTCAAATGATGTATCACATTACACTACTTCCAAAGAGATTTTTAAAAATATCTTCTATGCTCCAGACCACCACACAAAGTTCCCATCTGCTATTTCACTCCTCAAATGCAGGTCTCTACCAGGTCAAAACTGGGATAAAGAAACCCAATCCAGTTTTCCCATGTGGGTCACGAATACCCGACTGTTTGCTCTATCATCTGCTGCCTCTCAAGTGCGCATAGCAGGAAACGGGAGGTGTTGGTGGAGTCAGTACTGGAGCTCAAGCATTGTGATAAGAAGTGTGGGCATCCCAACTGTGCCTTCACTGCCAGGCGAAACACCAGGCCTGCAAGGAGATTCTAATATCCATTTTAGGTGGGATCAAAATAATCATTGTCTATTTGAGAGATGAGTGAAACAGATTTGGTTGCCAATTCAATACATTTTTATGCTACCTGCAGATTTGAATCTGTTTCAGTGGTTACCAACCACTATTCCTTCCCAGAGCTCCTGGTGATCGTCTGCTTATGATAAACAATTACGTTTCAGAAAAGACTATGCATTTTTTAATTTACTCTGAATAAAAACAATGTTTATATTTGGTGGTAAGAATGTTCTTCTAACACTAAGTATTTAGGTCATTATTTATAGAAAATGCAAGATGATTTGTATTCTCTGACATATTCAAACTCATTTTCCATTTATAAGAAGAAAGTTGAGAAAGAAAGAACTTTAGATATGTAGTTATAGAAAAACACAGAAATTTATCAGGCTCCCATGCATGCAAAGAACAAAATCAATGCCATTTTTGCCATTTCCAAGTACAGTATTGTCACTTCAGGGTGTCAGATGGAACAAAGTAAAACCCCTATGATACTACCTGAAATACTGTTGCTACACGAATTTTTACCCTGCTATAAAAGTAGTACATATGTTTTAAAGAATATTTGGAAAACAGAACAAAATGTTTTTTTCTGAACCTTTGGCTCCTATCACTACCACTCCATCCAATTCACTGTCAGCAGTTTGCTCTCTTCCCATAAGGTCCCTCCAACCCCAGTGGGGATCTGGCCTCTTCCTTAAGTCAGTGCCAAATAAGGCATGTCTTTTCTGTTCATTAGGTCTCCAGGTCTGTGGAGAGCTGGCTCTCCTGCTCACCACCTTCTCTCCTCTGCCAAAAGTATGTGGAAGCTGCCATGCTCACCAAACTGTACACCCATGTACACCGGACTTTTCCAAACAGGGCATCAGTGGATTCCAAACAACACTGTCTCAGAGCTTTGCTCAGTCTCCCACCCAAATGACAGCTTCTCAATGTCACCTCAAGAGCTGCAACAGAGAATGGTGGTTCTGCAGGAGTTGTTGCATAACTTGTTAGCTTGTTCAGTCAACTCCTTCTCTCTCTTGGTTAGCAGAGGTCAAATATGTGAAATTAGTGAAGAAAAGCTTACCTGAGGGTACAGCAGCTGTGCCGAAAGGTACGGAACCAAACACGTCTGCACTCGCCGGAAGTGTCTGAGATGAAGATGGGATAAAGGCATCACCTGGAGTTGCAGGAGTCTGCAGAAACAGAGAGACCAAGGAAGTGGGAGAGCTGGCTCAGCACTCAGCAAGCACTCCAGCAGGTGCAGGAATTAAGAGGTGGGTTGCCAAAGTGAGCCATGGCCTGGATCATTTATGTGGCATGCAGGCTATGGTTGATCCCACAGATATTATCAGTGGCACAGGGAAAAATGAAACCTTGCTTGTTGCTGGAAGAGTAAATGAGAGTGTGCATTTGAAGCATTATTATTCTATCATTTAAATTTTTAGTACTTGGGGCCCGGCAGCGTGGCCTAGTGGCTAAAGTCCTCGTTTTGAATGCACTGGGATCCCATATGGGTGCTGGTTCTAATCCCAGTAACTCCACTTCCCATTCAGCTCCCTGCTTGTGGCCTGGGAAAGCAGTCAAGGATGACCCAAAGCCTGGGGACTCTATACCCGTGTGGGAGACCTGGAGGAGGTTCCTGGATCCTGGCTTCGGATCGGCATAGCACAGGCCATTGCACTAACTTGGGGAGTGAGTAATTGAACGGAAGATCTTTCTTTCTGTCTGTCCTCCTCTCTGTATATCTGACTTTCCAATAAAAATAAAATAAACCTGTAAAGAAAAATAAATAAATAAATAAATAAATAAATAAATAAATAAATTTATGCACAGGCATATAGCAGGTGTTCACCAAAAAAAAGGCAGTATTGTGATTTAGTTTGAATGTCTGCCACTTGAAAGAGATCTTCAAGTGAAACAGTTACATATCTGCCTTTCACTCTTTAGAAATTATACCTTCAAACTCAATATTCCCATTCAACATCCATTATGCGCAATGTTCAAGGCTTGCCCTTCTTAAACGATGAAGCACTTGTCACCTCAAAGGACAAATCAATCTTCTTTTTTAAGATTTATTTTTATTACAAAATTAGATATACAGAGAGGAGGAGAGACAGAGAGGAAGATCTTCCCTCTGATGATTCACTCCCCAAGTGAGCGCAACGGCTGGTGCTGCGCTGGGAACTAGGAACCTCTTCCGGGTCTCCCACGCGGGTGCAGGTCCCAAAGCTTTGGGCTGTCCTTGACTGCTTTCCCAGGCCACAGGCAGGGAGCATGAAGGGAAGTGGAGCTGCTGGGATTAGAACTGGCGCCCATATGGGATCCCTGCGTGTTTAAGGTGAGGACTTTAGCCGCTAGGTCATAGCGCCAGGCCCGACAAATCAATCTTAACAAACACAGTACTGATCCTTGTATCATGGTGCCCCAGAATGTACTTGCAAAAAAAAAGTATTTTCCAGAAGACAATAAAAATAATGTGTACACTGCTGCCTAGCCCATGTTAGAATTCCAGAAATATCTACTGAGTATACAGTAGATAATTTGGAAGGTGCTAGAATGAAAACATCAGTCCTCAAGTTTTTAAGTGGCCACACCCATGTCCAGCAGGTTTTTGCCTATATACTATAAATTTGTATGACACAAACCATTAATCCTAAAACCATGGCAATTAGACAAGGCCATTTTCAGGTTAGAAGCTTGCAGGATGACTAGCATTGTTCTAAGAATTATTAGATACCTATTTGGACTATGCTTGAGTTCAGGGCCAGAAACACAGTCACAAATAACTATGTTCAGGACTTTTAAACACAGCCAGTGACCTCGTAACCTTGGACAACTGGCACGTGCTCTGCAGGACTCTGTCTATCTGCAAAGTAAAGGGACTATGCTACAACATCCCTTACGGCTTTCTCACTCCACAGCTTTGCAGCTGTATAATCCTGAGTGCCCAGCATGAAGCTGTTACCCCATAGATGAAGCAGAGAATGAGCTGTCCACATTCCCTGGGGACAGGTGCTGCAGCTCCCTCCCTTGTAGCTGCTCTGGACATCAAGTGTTGGGAGCAAGACAGCTGTGCCTGGATTCTCTGGGGGAAGCTATGGGCAGCAGACTCTGGTGCCATCTGTCCTCGGTGGTGAGGGCATGGCCTCTTCTCCGTGAGGCACGACTCCCCCAGTGAACCATAGCACCATCACTTGGTTTACACCACTGCTCAGATCCCAGAAGAGCTGTCCATGCCCAACCAGCAGCTTCAGCTGGCACAGCTGTGCCTGACTGCTCTCTGCTCACCCCTGGGAAGAGTAGGGGAAGGGCTAGTTCAGTTATTTTCTCAGCAAGAAGCTGCAGGGTCACTTTTGAAAGCATCCAGCACTGGGATTAGACCTTTCCTTACTTAGCTTTTATTTCTTCATTTCACTGTCAGATGAGGGAGTGCTCCCTGAATTCTTAGTCTTTTTACAAACACTGATTGATACAGTCTGGCTGCAGCTGCATGTAGGAATCCAGAGCTGCTAGCAGCACTTAGGTTACAGGTCTGCAAAGCTAGAAGACAGGGAGGAGAAGAAGGGAGCAAGACAGATAGCAGACAGGGCAAACATGCATCCTGCCCTGCACTGACCCTTGTCCTGTGTCAGGTTCAAGGGAGATGCTGACAGATGCCCCATCACCTTTGCTGTGCCTCAGAGTCTTTTGCCCACAGCCCTAACTAGATCAGTAGCTCCTGTTAGGCAGGAAGTACATCCTGTTCTTGTCTCTTCCCAGTGGCAATGATTTGGAATTGACTGTATCTTGGAATTGCTGAAAGCATGGGTTCACTTATTTTTCAAGAAAGAAACATGGCTCACAATTCTTTGATACTTAATGGAAAAGGACATTAAGGTCCAGAATTGCTAGAAAACTTGCCCAAGTTACACAACTGGAAAGAGCTGCAGCTCCCAGGAGCCTCTTTCCTTCACAACTTATTTTCACTCCCGTGTGATCAAGGAAAGAAAGGGCTCTGTAGGACTCTGAGGGTGGTGCATACTTACGGGGGGAGAGGTTATATCAGGAGGGGTGGACATGTCCCCAAAAAGTTCTAATTGGGTCACAGCCTGAAAATATAGAAAGATAACCATGTAATCACAAGCAAAGCTCATGCTGCTGCAAATCGCTTTAACAACTGAATGACACATGAGAATGAACATTTCACTTAGTTATACCTAAACCTCATGTTCTCAAAGGTAATATCTCAGATGCAGCCAAGATCAATTCTAGTTTCTGAATATCTGGCTGTTTACACAGGCTTGGTCAAGACTGGCCACCAACCAGATCCTATATGCAAAAATTATGCCTCTCACAGCTGTTTACCACGAAACACCAGCACTGGGAAGGAGACCACCAGATTATTGGTGTTTTTCTTTCTTGAGTGTATTTATACATATGAGGTGCCTTCTGTGTGTAAAATAGAAGTCTCAACTTGTGGTCACCTCTCAGCAAATGCCTTCAACAGTGTTAACCCTGTGAGAAAAGAATCATCCCCATTTTTGCAAATGCATAAATTGAGTCCAATGGAGGTAATATCAAGGTCACCCAGGCCAGGATTTTAATTTTTGACATATAAAGCATGCAGTCAAATATAAAGCTCCTGAAAGAGCCTGCGCTAAGGATTAAAAAAAAAAAGTGTAGTTGGAGGAAAAGAAAACATGTCATTTAACACCAGGAAGGACATCAAAACCAGCCCAATACATACACAGTTGGTCACTCCTAGGAACTCCATCCCTGCACACACTTCATCATCTCTCTTTCCAGCTATCACACGGGGGTGTCTGAACAAAGCCAGCCACAGCAGTGGAAGGATTCCTTTCAAACAGACTTAGACATTAATCTGCATGCACTTCCAGCTTCAGAGACTGCAGAATTTCTGGCCAGGAACCAAGCAGCCTGACTTCATTACAAGAGTATATAATTGCATGCTGTGCATAAGTCTGTCTCCTTCTACTCCTTCTCAGACCTAAGTGCTAGCTTCCCACTGGGGGAACATCTCTTAAACAACGCTTGAAAAAAGCCACAGGAAGGGTCCAATTGCCCTGTTGAGCATGGGACCTTCATGTAAATTCCGCTCTAATCCATTGTGACCTGGTCTCTAGGATCACACAAAGAAAAAAGGTAGTCTTTGCTCTTGACAATGAAGTGAGCTCTGGGCTTGGGGGATGGTTCCATGTTTGGGAATCTACTTGGGGTTTACTTCCCAGAGTGACAACTTCCTGGATGAAGGAGATGCTAAATTTTTCTGTGCTGGCTTATTGAAAGTATTGCAGGTTGAATCTCTGTAATCAGAAAGTATAAAATCCAAAGTATTCCAAACTCTGAAACTTTTCAGGCACTAACAAGATGCCAGAGCAGAAGATTCCACACCTGACCTAACATGAAAAGTTGAAACAAAATAGGCATTTCAGATAAGGGATGCTCAACTTGTGACACAGCAAGAATTTCTTTGAAAGTTAGCTAAGACTAGTTTAAAAAGGAACAAAAAAAACATCTTTTTTCTGCTTAGCCTTGGTGACCCACTTCCAATGCTTCCTTCCATAGGGAGTTTTCAGACTTAACAGTCCCTGGCACAGTAGGGCCCTGAAGTATGCATTTCCTTCCCAATGGCAGAACTTATCCCATAGATGTTGTATTAGGTTGGAACTCTGCACTAGCTGCTGTGAACAGGATCAGAAAAACGGCCAAGCTTTAGACTGCAGGGAACTCCTGAGAGCTCATTCCATAACAACACGGCAAGAAACAGAAGGGAGGCTTCTGTGGGATGCAGTGGGAGCCCCTCCAAGGCCAGAAAGCCACTCTAGGTGTAGAGTCTGCTGAGAGTTTTCTAGAGAAAAGAGCTGTATCTGAATGTTGAAGAAGAGCTGTTAGCCAGGAAACTGAGTGGACACGAGGTCAGCTAGAGACCCAGCAATGTGGGTGGGTGGGGAGAGAAGCAGTCTTGTGTTAACTGCCTACAGGTGAGAGACAGGAAGTGGGCAGGACAAGAAGGGATGAGCTTAGGTGCATTTCATAACCTTTGCCACCTGTCCTTTACTAACTGGATGACACCTCACAGGACAGCACTGCAACATGAGAACAATATAGTCAGTATTTTGAGACACCTCTCTCCCCAAACTGTGCTGGACTCTCAGTGCTTGTTGGGGATAAGGCTTCTTCAGCACATTAGCTATATTTTATGTGATCTGATGTAACTGCTAGTCCCTTACACTCTCCCAAATTCATAAAAGGAATCATTCTATTTAAAGAATTCAAATCATACTTCCAGGCCAATTGGAACGCAATGCTTTTAAAATGGTTCACAACTATTTTCAGTGTTAGGAAAATAGTAAAATGAAGTTAATAATTAAGTCCACAATTTACATATCAAATGTGTTGAACTCATGGCGTACTTTAACTAACATCTTAAATATAATTTATTGGCTAATTTTCTCCTTAAGCACAACTTTTAAAATAACCTTCATTCTTGAGATATAGACTTTCCTTGTGCCAGATGATTTTCATTCAAGGATTAAACGAGAAAAACACGCAGAGGCATAAAACACAGATTGTTATTTCTTTCCATTGAATTTGCTGTTTAAATAGAACCTTGAGTTAATTAAATTTTATAGGAAAGGGGGATTCTTGGGCCATAAAATTAAAAATAATCCTAATAACCACATATGATTGAGAATTAGGAATGGTATCTACTTTCACAGCCCTCCTCCTCCTGCTCACCCTAGTTCTTTAATTTGTAACCTAATAAACCATGTTCTTTCTGAAAATATTATTTGAATCAATCATTTTAAAGGTACCAAGAGAATAAAACAATTCGCATTTGTAAGACACTTTCTAGTTTACTGTGCTCTCTCAAACACAGTATCACCATGTAGGACATTCACTGAGCTCTATAAAGTTGGCAGGGTAGGCAATGCTATCATTGCCCTTGTTTCACAGATGAAACAACTGAGGCTGGAGTTAACAGACTGGCCTATGATCACTCAGCAAAAAGAAGAAGAAACTATGATGGACTTAACTACTTAGGATCTTGCTTATCTGTTACTTTACCAAACACGAATTAGCCTTGCTAAATGGTCAAAATCCATTATTAAAATATTCTCTAGCCAGAAGACAGGGTACCTACATGGTCTGCCATGGTGTTTATCCATTTGAGGTTCATCCATGGCATGGAATAGGCCGTCTATTACTGGCATTTCTCTGTACTATCTTCCAGGATGGAGAGATGGAACTTTGGATGGCATATTTTATTCAGCTGCTATGCCACTGCATATTTCCCAGGGGGTGTGCTAGATGATATCAGAAGCTAATAGGATTATTGAAAAAAAAATAATTTAGGAGGTAGCGTTTTGGTGCACCTGTTAAGACTCTGCTTGGGTACCTTGCATCCTTTATTAGACTACCCTCTATGAGTCCCAGTTTCACCCTTCATTGCAAGGTCCAACTTAGGCACACTGGGGAGGTGGCAGGTGACAGCTCTGTACTTGAGTCCCTGCCACCCACACAGGAGACCCGGGCAGAAAGTCCTTGGCTCCTAGCTTCATCTGATATGAGGAAAGAGAACCAGCAGATGGGAGACCGATCTGCTTATATTAATTTGCCTTTAAAATGAAAACAAGCTTAAAATAAAGAGGCTTAGATGCTTAGGGGTAGCAGCTGAATGTCTCTGTCAGAACTCTAACCTTTGCAGTCACTCTTGGTTAGGAACGAGTCGGCATTCCAGGGACACCTGGAGTATTGCCCAGCCCTCTCAAGGCAAGTCCCCCTCCTCTTGCCCTCATGTGGCTACCAAGGACTGATCCTCAGTGCTCCTTCTCACAGATGCACCCCCTAAGCTTTGGTATCAGGAGCTCTCCTTGACACTTGAGCCAGCAAGGGCATGGAAATCCATATGCCACATCAACTCCTATGACAAGAGTTGGAGTTACAGACACAAGTCAGGCACATTCTCGCTCCTACTATCAGGAGCTGGGTGATTTACAGAAAAATACCACAGAAATAATCTATCCATAATATTATGGAAGAGAGAAATAGAGATTTATGAATGGAGAGGTCATGTCAGGACAGTTGTACCTGCTCCTCCTCCTACCTGGAGTATATATTCCTTCTCCTACTGCCTTTCCTCCCCAATTTTGAGGACACAAATTAGAAGGCTTTCTTCTAATGCATGTTGTATTACTTCCATTCCAGTGATTCTCTGGCTTTGGGCGAACACTGAACTCACCTTCAGGAAAATACTGCTGCCTGGTTCCCAACTCCGGATATTCTGAATCACTAGGCTTAAAGTTAGTCATCAGAACTTAGAACATTTTTCCTGTGATTCTAAATTGCTGTTAGGGTTGGCAATCCCCGCTCTCAAGGCTTTCTAGCACCCTGTGTTCAGGGGTGACAGCATTCAATGGTCTGTGAATTGACCAATCTGAACAAATGCTGGCTGCAAGTCAGTACTTACAATATTCCAAGGTATACTACACGAAGAGTAGTTTTGCTTATTTTTGATGCTCAATGGAGTACTTAGCATATTCCTTTTGTGATTCTGAATTCCTACTACACGATATTAATACACTACAATCAAGCAATCCTATCCTATCCTATCCTTACCCTATCCATTCTATTGTATATAATGACACGCTAGGTTTTACTCTAAGCTTCTTGAAGAGGGAGTTTGTCTTTCTTCTTACAGCATCTCTGGAAGGCTTGGGGATTGGTAGGGATTTCATACATCTTTATTAAATAAAAAGAAGGGTTCTCCCCTTCACCAACACACTCTCTCACACATGTGTACATACACTGCCACTCTGTGGTCTCATGGTAGGCCCTCCCACCATGATCTTCCTATAAACATTTGAACCAGCACCCACTGGGACAGTGTAAAGCAGAATGGCTGTCATTCACACAAGCAGGTGAGGAAAATAGAGAATATGTAAGGATGACCACAACAACCCACACATTCCATAAGAACCTCAAGGCCTTACCTGTGATGCCTCATACAACTCATCCAAGTCCACAGGCAGGTTTCTGTTCTGTAACCACAACGCACGAGTGATGAGCATGGAATGAATGATGGGATAATGTCATGAAACAGTTAAGCAGATAGGGCCTGCTCAGTCTTACCAGAGAGGCTGCAGCAAATCGTTCTTCAAAATCCTCAAATGGATGGCCGTTCTGTGATGAATGAGGATGAAGTGAGTGACATACAAATGACATGGATTTATGAATATAATGATGGCACTATCTATGGTTTACAGTCCCATGGTCTCGGTAGGTGGGAGCTGCTCCCGATGTACTGTGAAAATCCTGGAATACATCTTCAGCATAAGCAGATGAAAGAACATGCTCCTGATTAGGAAGTACAGTGGTGGTAAATCTGTAACTTTGAAGTCCACATCCCTGCAGTAATAGATACTAACCAGCTAATCTCAACAGCTACAGTGAAGCAAATAGGTTTTAATGAGATTTTATTTTTCAAAGGAAAAAAAAAATTGGTATCATAGTTTTTAGCTACACTTAGCTCTTTGGAATAGCAAGCTTTGTAGGTGATTTTTCAAAAAGTAAAAGATTTATTTATTTGAAAGGTAGAGTTACATAGAGAGAGAGCGGGAGGGTTTTCTCTCTGCTGGTTCACTCCCCAAATGCTCACAACGGCCAGGACCACAAAGCTAGGAACTGGATCCTGGTCTCTCACATTGTCGGCAGGAACCTAAGCACTTGGGCCATCATCCATAGCCTTTCCAGGCTAATTGGCAGGGTCCTGAATTAGAAGCAGAATAGCCGAGGCTTAACCAAGTTCTCCATATGGAATGCCAGCATCCCATGCTGCTGACCTGCTGTACGTGCCTTTGAGGATGTTTGTTGCCTCTGCCTAAAACTATATCCTTTGCAAGCTCAAGGCTCACCAAATACTTCATCCCAAGTGGAAAAGCCACCTCTTCGGTCCAGCTCCTTTTGACCCTTTGTGGGGAAAATAGTCATACAGAACTCTTCAGTGTATTGCCTGTGCCTCTGCCGGTGTGAGCTCCACCATGCAGAGGCTGTGTAGTGTTAACTCCTGACTTCCCAGCATCTTACAGGAGACCCAGCACACCACAGTGCTCTAAGTGCTATGTGAATGAATGCTTGTCTCTTTTAAAATAACTGGAAGATGTCCAAATCTAATTTTTCTACTTCTTATTTTATTGCTCTAGGACATATTCCAGATAATCTATGTAACACTTAATATGCATATATATTTTAATGACTGCATTTTGGTCTATCTGTACTGAAAATTATCCTTTGAGTTATTTCTAAGCAATATAACATTAATGTTAATGTACTAGTATTATTGTTAAAAGAGAAATCATAAATGTAAACAAGTGCTGGTATAATTTTCCAATTTCATGAAAACGATTATGGTGGAATGGAGAAACTTACTCAGAATCTCTACATGCCAATCATCTGGCAGACATTCCTTTACTCTGCCTGGAGAAACTGGGACTGTTGCTTCCTTGGCCACTACAGAGTATAGAACAGAGCTATAGGAGCAGTGTACCTGTGCCCACCATGGCAAGATCTTCACGCCAAGCCCTAGAAAATCCTTCTATCACCCAGGGAGGGACTGACCAGGACTCCACTGCAGCTGCCAATGGAGCAGAATTCACATCAAACAATCACATAAATTGTTATCATCATTATTTGGCCAGAGGTAGGGATAGGTAGGCAGACAACATTAGTCTAAGTGATCCTATAATCTATGGTGTGGCCTAAAAGGTTAAGGTTATGTCACTACATCCTTTATAAATTCACACACTCCTAGGGATTTATAGCAGAACCCCTACCAACTAGCTCTGGGTCATAACTTTTAATAAAAACATTTTTTAGTGTCCAAAATCTCATTACATCTGTCCAATATAAAAAAGCAAATGGCTTCAGAGCATGATGGATGAATTAAATAAATTTGAAAAACAGCTCATGTTGGAGTCTCATAAAAACCTCACCATGTCCCACATAATGAAAATGTGGGAGGATAACCAGCATCAGCATGTGCCTGTCACCTTCTTAGTGACAGAAAAGGCCTTGGGTGAGGCCTGGAGCAGAGGTAGGATAAGGCGCACTCTAAATTCTGATGAAGTTTGGTCTGAACGTTTGGAAACAAATGCCTTGTTTTGGAACTGCATGGATGGTGGACTAAAATCTAAGTCACCTGCCGGCTGTGTGACCCTGGACAATTCAATTGATCCTATTGGTCTCACCTTTCAAGCAGGGCACATAAGGATGACATCATTCTCAGGTTTACTGACCAAGATGTGTGTATAGTCTTTTTGGATGCTGGCCACATAATAGAGCCTCAATAAATAGAAACTATGACTGATATTATCTCAGTGTATTTGGGGGCTCATTTTAACAATGCACATGAAGACTTTGATTATTAGGACATAATCTTTAGAAGAAGAAACAAAAATCTTGGTGGTGGCTCCTTCTTAGGTGTCACTTCACCCAAGAGCATAGGCCACTTTACAAGGGTAAAGTGTGGCCCATCACTCTCTTAACTTTTCAGCCTTGGCCTTGGGTCCCTGGTTCTACTCTGCACTCTGTCTTTATCCTTTCATCATGCCCCCAGCTAATGTCTTTGCTGCTCCCCAGCTATATCTTCTGTTACTGGTACTCTGCATATCCTTCTCTTTTGACACTGGCCTCTTTTCTGCTTGGAACACTTCCTTCATGCTTTCTGCTTTGAAGATCTATGGAACTTCTTCCAGTCAATGGGAGGCTCATTCTAGCTAAAGCACTTTCTTCAATTCCCCATTCTCCCATCATTCCTAACTCATGCTTTACTCAAAGGATCATCAGATTTTCAGTTCATTTATCCCAAAGGCTTCTTAGGAAATTTTTCATACTATCTAATTATGCATATGGATTTGTATTCTGCTTTTTAAAAACCGAACATAGTGGTTGGCACGATGGCATAGCGAGTGGTGGTTCTAGTCCCAGCTGCTTTACTTTGGATTCAACTCTCTGTCGATATGCTTGGGAAAACAGCAGAAGATGGCCAAAGTTCTTGGGCGGGCTCCTACATAGTTGTGGAAGATCTGGAAAACCTCCAGTCTCCTTGCTTAGAATTAGCCTGGCTCTGGCCATTGTTGCCAACTGGGGGAGTGAACCAGCAGATGGAAGATTTCTGTATCTCCTGTTTCTGTAAGTGTGCCTTTCAAACAAAAATAAATATATATATATATATTTTTTAAAGACTCAATATCACATCAGATTTACTCATGACTTAGGCTTCTGTGATGGTGTTTGAAAGATGCCATTCTCTGGTGTTTCAACACAAGGGTAGCCTCAATTTTTGCTAAGGGATTTATTCTGATGGACAGTAGTGACACAGCCCTTCCAGAAACAAGTAAAGTAAATGCAAAGACCAGATTCAAGGTCTTCTAGCAGTAAAAAGATAGTAGATGACATGGGATTTAGGGTGAAAGCATCAGAAATGATGAAAATACATTTATGGCTGCTAAACCAGAAACCTGCTTAATTCTCATTTTCTGCCTCCACAACTGGAATTCTTTGGGAGAGCTTTTATAAAATTACCAAACCCTGATCTCCACCATCAGATATTTGGATTCTATTGGTGTAGAGATGGGCTATGGCGTCAGTTGTTTTCCAAAGCCCCCCAGGTGGTACTAATGTGCAACCAGATTTGTGAATCACTGTGCTGGAGAATGAATTCTCTGTAGGAATCATCAGTGAAAACCCTACTGGGAAAATTGAAAGGATATTGATTGATTATGCCATCAATTAATTAATCTCCTCAGCACACTTCATTGGGTGCTTTCCACCAGCCATATCCTGGCTTGGCATTGCAGATAGCTTCTTGCTCTCATCAGCCCAGGGCAGAGATAGGCTATGCAGTCATGATAGCTCAAGGGTGGATAGAAATTAGATACGACATAAGACTTAAAGATCTAAACTTGGAAGTTAGATCAAGGTTACCAAAAAATGAGTCTACTAATCTACTAATGAAAGATTCATTAGTAGGTTTAAGAGAAATGGACTAACCTAAGTGACTGTAACTGTACTAGAGCTGGTGTTATTAAGGGCATAGAGTAATTCTAGGCATTTGAATGCATGTCACATTTCTATAGTGCATTATTTCACTAGCAAGACGTCTGTTCATGAAGAATAATTCCTTCTGGAATATCTGGGAGCTCATGTTCTCCAGTGCCATTAACTAGTCAATTTTTCCTTTTTGGCAGACAAAGAGGAAAATCTTGGCTTGCCAATTGAAGAGAAAGAGAGGGTAGACTGAGATGGGGAACTGCAACTATGGTATTAACAAATGATTTCATTCTAGAATAGCAGTGTCCAGAACATTCTGAGAGGATGGAAAAGTCTGTATTTGTACTGCATGATAGAATAGCAACTACTGAGTACTTCACATGCAGCTGCTGTATGTGCTAAGCTGAATTTTAAAATTTATTTGGTCTTAATTAATACCAGTTTAAGCATTTACAGATAGCTAGTGGCTATTGTACTTGGACAGCAAAAAGCTAGATAAAATAGACCAAATACTTTTGAAAATCCAAACTTTGCTCTCTGCCCTTTAAGCATTAAACATATATATTTCTTCCCTATTTATCTTCTTTTATTAAAAAGAAACACTATATTTGCATTGGTTGCAAAGTTTCTGAATTAAATTTCTTGCTGCTAGACAGTATCATTTAATCAAATTCAGTTTGTAAAATAGCAGCCACCTTCTGGATAGAAAAAAAAATTTTTTTTTTCATTTCCTGAGCTAAGCCAAAGCCAGATATTTCTTTTTTAAGAAAGTCAAGAATCATACTTCAAATGGAGTTTCAGGAAGGGTCATCATCATTTAAAAAAAATAAAATAAAAAACAAAACAAAACAAAAACCCAAACAAACAAGCAAATAAACAAACAAAAAAACCCCAGAATAGCAGTTAATGCCAAAATGTGCCAGCTCTATTGAGACTGGCAGCTCAGCGGTCTTGCTGGACACAATGCCTTGATTTAATGGAGGAAATGGTGATGCTCTGAGTATTTTATCTTTGTAATGATTGCAAAATTCCCTCTGACGATTCAGGGTTGGGCCTCATTTTAGCAGCTAATGGCTCTCTTTTCCCAAGCTACCATTTCAAGAGGGTCCCAACGGTTACCCAAAAGGTTAGAG